TTATATATATATATATATATATATATATATATATATAACACATAAATCTACTATCAAATGAAACTTATCAAATAGTTGAATCGAAAACATATATATATAATAAAATAGCCATATGTAGGGGTGTTCGGTTCTGGACACCCTATATTTTTTGAAGGAACCGGAACCAGAATTGAAACTAACGGTTCCTTGAAATTTGGAACCAGAACTGGAACCGATGGTTTCGGTTCCTAGGTACTCAAAACCGGAATCTATAACAACGGGTCCGGTTCCGGTTCTGGATACCCTGTAAAATTACATAACCTCCTAAAAGTTTTTAAAATGGCAAAAAAACCCTTAAAAACTTATAAATACCCCTCCACACTTGTTAACAAAAATAAAATTACAAATTATAAATTCAAAATTATAAACTCCATTACTTTGTAAAGGTAGATTCAAAATTATTTTTAAATACAAAGAACACAATTTTTATTTAAATCCAATAGACTCTTTAAATTTAATGAAGATGCTCTTTATTTTTAAGAAAGAAACTTAATGGGAGAGAGAATTAATAAATAAAATGTATATGAACTTGTAGTTTATTAATTAAAATTATGATAGAGAGTGAAATTTGATTTTCTAAATGTGGAGAGCCAAACTCACTCTCTAATTTATATTTTAAAGATAAAGAGTCTGTTGGACTCTTATTTTTCTGGATAAACTCTTTATAATAAAGAGTTTAAATCATATAAAGAGTCCTATGGAAATGCTTTAAGACTGCTGTCGCCTGCCGTTAGGGAATTTTAGAATGTGTTAATGCTTTTGAAAGCAAATGTCCAATGTACCCCCGATTTCTCATCTTAGGAAGACTAAATACAAAATAAAAAACTAAGACGGTAGAGATTAATATAACAAAACAATAATGAATAAAATGAACAGGATTTGTAAAAAATTGAAACATTTTCACAACTAAAACTAAAAATTAAATATTTTAAATAAAAATGTCTACCTTAAAAAAAAATTTCATGCATTATCAAGCATCAAGATAATAATAATAATAAAAAAAAAAACCCCCGAAAAATCATTCAAATCAAAAACCCAAAACTACAGAACAATAATTCAACCCTAATAAAGCCGCCACCACTGCACCACCAACAAAGCCACCAAAAAATTGAAGAACCAACTTGCTTAAAACCCAGTTAACGCATGAAACCACCACCACGGCAAGACCACTATGACAGCCTCCATCACCATTACAAACACCAAAAATGGGTTGGTGAGGGAAGAAGATCCACATGCTCCTTCTTGGTATTTCATTTCCCACCTCCCTTCTGTTCTCGCAGATTAGGAAGCGCCTTCTGGGAATAGTGGGTGTATGACTGCTGGTCTTTGATAAAATTTGAAGTGGGGGTCACTCCTCGCCTAATAAGGCCTATTGGGTGAGTCAGGTACATCTCAAATTCTATCATGGTATCAGAGTTCAGGTTCAGTTGAGTTGAGTGCTTGATTAGCGAGTGAGGAGTTAGAGCAGATAACTACTTCAAATAACAGGCATGACCCAACATATAGGTTTGACCGTGAGGGAAAGTATTAGAGTCTCACACCGACTAGGCACGCTTAATCCTACTGGTTTATAAAAGGGGATAATCTTTCCATTCAATAAGGTCTTAATGGGTGAGGAGTCAAACCCACCTCAAATTCTATCATGTTTTAGTCTATTGCTTTTTCTTTATAATGATAAGAGCAGCAGAATCCTTTTTTTGAGCATTGATTAAGCATCTTGTATACGAGCTTTCGACTGCTTTACCTAGTTAGTAAATACGGGAACGGCCAAAAAAGGGTACGGGAATTTTATGGGTATGATACAGCAAATTATGAAAAATACGTTTATAAAAATTTGGCCATAAAATTCAGATACGGAAAAAATATGGTATGGGTATATATGGATTTAATACGATACATTGTCAATAATACGTTTTAAAAAATACGACAATATTAATTTTGATTTTAGCACTTTTTATAATCATTGAATTAATCATTCTTTGTTTTTCCTTATAGGTGTATGGTTTATGTCTTTTTGAATTATAATATTTTAGTTTGTAAAAAATTGTATTATTTCATTCGTAATTAATTACTACAAATATTGTAGAAGTGGACTGGTCCAGTAAAATCCGAAAAAATCATTTTAGTCTCTATAAGACCATTGCCGTTAGGGAATTCTAGAATGTGTCATATATACAGGTTTTATACGACATATTATCAATAATATATTTTAAAAAATATGATAATATTAATATTGATTTTAACACTTTTTATAATTATTGAATTAGAGGGTGTTTGTCTAAACTTATAAGCTGGTTAAACTAATTTATAAGCTTTAAAATTAAGCTGATATATTTGTTTATAACATTTTTAGACTTATAAGCAAAAAAAAAAAAGAAAAAAAAGAAAGTTAGAGGGAAGGTATTTTTTTTTTCCTGCTCTGTTTATAAGTTAGTTTAACCAAGTATATTACCACATTATCTTTATTTAATTTTAAAATTTTATCGTATATTTTATTATTTAATAAAATAATATAATATCCTTTGTAGTTATTTTAATAATAAATTGTACTTATAAGCTATATTTTATCAAACTACTTTTCAGTTATTTATAAATATTTTAATTAATATAACAAAATAATAATGAATAAAATAAAAAATAAAATGAACAGGATTTGTAAAAAATTGAAACATTTTCACAACTAAAACTAAAAATTAAATATTTAAATAAAATTTTCTACCTTAAAAAAAAATTCATGTATGATCAAGCATCAAGATGATAAATTTAACAACAAAAAAAAAAAAAAAAAAAAAAAAAAAAAAAAAAAAAAGAAAAAAAAATAAAAGAAAATCAGCAAAATTAATCTTGATGTAGCTTATGAATAAGCATTAGCTTGACCTTCGTAATCCAATTAAACTTCTAATGGGCATTATAAGTTTCAAAAAANTTTTTTTTTTTTTTTTGGGTGATCTTGCCGGTTTACATATACCTTAATAAATCCTCTTGGTCACCCCTTCTAGGGGCCTCTAAAGAGGAATTAAACTAAAAACCTCTTACACAATCAACATTGCCCAGAGCTAGAACCAAACATTCAATTGTGGACCTTGCATCGAAACAAAGGGCTGCACAGAACTAGGATCTATGGGAACCAAATACCGGACCACATTCAGAATAGCTTATTAAATCTGTTATAAATATATAAGATGGACAAGGAAAGATGGACCGGTGTTTAAGAAGGGTTTCGAGGGGGTTTAATAAATTGAAGGATACTATTGATGTTAAAAATACAGTATTTTAACAGCAGGACCTGATACGGCACCTATCACGACATATGCTGTGAATATTTCTTCTACTTTGCTATCTTATTTCTATGATTACTGTGAAAAAAATTGAGAGAAAAAGTAAACACTTTTGAGCGTCCCATACCGTATGGAAAAATATGAGGTAAGAGAACTGCTTGCTGTCAAAGCAACTTTTCAAGGTCATAAGCAAGTTCATGGTTCTCAGAGGGCTTTCTTCACTTCAAAGAAGTTAGAGCGCTCCTTGTTTGCAGCATCAATGTCATCAGGAGATGCCACGGCAACCACAACTCCTTTGTCTTTAACGGCCTCGATTGCACCAGCAAATTCCTTGAAGTCCTTCAAACTGTCAGTTGAAAAAGGAAAAAGAGTTACATACACTTAAAGAGAAAAAGCTCAAATCTACTTGGATGGAAGCAAGACTCTTCATCCATGAGTCAGATTAAAAAAAAATGGTCAACAGAAAGCCTTGTAAACACACAGGAAGTGTTTCTACGTTTCGCATGTTTTACAACTTCAATATTTGATCTACGCGTATAATAACAAGTAAAATCTTTACCTTGTAGACAATATCTCTTCACGTCTTTTCTGCCTTTCTTCTTCTGTAATTCCTAGTAAATGGCGTAGCAAACTGAAAAAGGAAAAGAGAAAAGAGGTGAATATGATATTCAACATTAACATAAGGGCACCAACAGTATAAACAACAATAATGATGGGTACATTCAAGAGCAAAACTTGTAATCTCTGACGATGCCAATCACACACACAGAGACGCATACATAGGTTTTCCAGCATGGCAAGAAACCCCTCCCATAGGTTTTCCAGCATGGCAAGAAACCCCTCCCATATCTCTCTCTTCGGAAGAAGGAAATGTTAAGCAAGCAAAAAATAAAAATATACTTGGAAAACCAAGGAAAAAATATGAAAATCTGAAAGAATTTTCTCCTTCTCTACCAATTTTCCGCCAAAAGTTTAGAATGCCATGCACACCCATATTATGAACCTTATAAAGCCAATGATTAAAACTTTTTAGGGTACAACAAGGTCAGGGTTATCAAATATTGCCATGACTTTAGCCCGAAAACATCAAACTAAGGAACAGAAAAAACCATATAAAGAAGAAAAGAACAGATAAAATCTTCAAGAAAACAAAACTAGTTGTCCACGTACCTACTATAACCTTTGGCATCTGGAAGCTGGTATGAATCTACATCCCCAATGGTCCCAATAATTGCTTTAGTAAGCGTATCATCATCCATTTCCAACTCACGTAAGAAATCTGCTGTTCCATCATAGACATCTAACGACTTCATCAAGTTTGGGTCCCGATAAGATAAGAAGGAGAATACACCTACACACAGATTCAGAGGTCAGATTGTCAAACAGCAACTAGATACTGCTAGCAAACACAGAGAGAATGATGATGCACCTGAATGACTGTCAAAATCACAGAAACCACCATAAGCCCCACCACTAACACGAATGCGATCCCACAACCATGTATTGCTTATGTGTTTCGATATAACATAGGCACTCCCTTTAAGTTGGTAACCGGTGTCATAGATATTAGCTGCTTTCCCAACATAATTTACCTGAGAAAGGAATGATATGGATCTTCAGAAAGTGGGAGTGCTTTGTTTCTGTTTTAACAATAAAGGAAACAAAACCTGTACCTGTGTAGGTATCACAATAGCTTCATTTGTTGGAGGAAGTCGAGCTTTCCATTTAGCTGTTTCAACAGGAGAGTTGCTAGGAAGCATGTCAAGAAATTTTCCAACAAACTTTTCTGCGTTCTTGAGATTATTCCCATCAGCAGTCATATTAATCAGGCACCGATCCCTAGAAAGTAAGGATCTGCGAATCTCCTCAAGAGATGAAGAAATCCCAGCCCAGTCTTGATCAACTTTCTCTTCAAGAGCTTGCAGGAATTCTAAGTAGCTAAAAGTACAAGAAGAAATACAATTCAAATCAGTAAAGTCAATTAGGTATAAAATGTAATGTCAAACTCAAAGTGTCTTGGTTGTAAAAATGAAGGCAGACTTTAATAATACCCCTAACAAACAAAATAGGAGAGTGCATTTAGTTATGAAGTTTGCTAAGTTACCAATTTGCCCTTAAAAGCTTAAACCGAGAGGTAAGGAACCAAAATTAATATTTTAGCTCTAACAAAGTTAATACATATATCAAATCCTAGACAATATTTCTCTTCTTGATTACAACGCTTGCAGAGCGAGATTTGACAAATAACATTATTGGCAGAACAAATCAAAGGAGAGAAATCACTACAAATCATCAAAATATTCCAACCTGACACCACCCATTTGTTCAGAAATCCACCCGGCAATATTTAACTTTGCATCCATTCTCGCAGCTGCAATTCCATGACCACTGCCTCTTAATCGGTTCTGAAAATAAGTAGGGAAGTCTGAGATTATTAAAGTTGAAACTTTATGTGATATATTCAAGCCACTAGAACATCACAATATATACCTCCATTCTAGCTTTGCTTTGGGAAACAAACTGCTTGAAACGCTGCTGGTCTGTAAACTGGACTTCTTGAAGAACACAGTTCATCTACAATTATAAAACAAACATGAACTCTCAGTCAATTGTTAATTCACAGGCAAAATTAGTCAAGATGTCAGATTCACAGGCTTGATAGTACAACTTTAAACAATAGCCTAAAAGAAGTATCAGAATATTATTATACTGACAGCAAAAAGAGGAGTTTACAAATTTACATTTGACAGTGACGGATAAAATTTAAGCAACATCAATAAGTTTTACACCATATTAATTAAATCAAAATAGCAAAAAGATAAAATTCATGGTTATTATAAACATTCCTTCTGTTAAGCCATTTATTCCTGCATGTCTAACAAACTATATTCAATTCAATTTGGTAGAAAACAGCACATGCAAACATATAATGAAAAAAGTAAATATCTAAGTTTAGTTGAGAAATACAGCATAACCATGAATGCTGATGTACCCTGATTATATGATAAATAACAGCAATATCTACATGACAAAAGTAGTAAGAGAGCCAATTCTTGAGTGTTGTTGCATTCTCCAGTGCACCAAGGATACAAGACACTCAAAAATAAAGATAAATAAATTCACTTGTAAAGTTGCTATAAACATTACCAGGTTAAATAGATCATCAGCTCGTCCTGCCATTGCCTTGCCTCGAACAATCAAATGCGAACAAGGATCTTCTTTGCCTTGTACGGATGATGTGAATGGATAAACCGATATTCCTCCAGTTTTCCGTCCAATTAACTGATTAAGTTGCACAAAACTCAAGTCTTTTGTACCCATCTCCAGCAATGACTGACTGTCATGTTCATAGTAAAGTTAAAAAGGGTAATCTCCACCAACTTGGCAGAAACATGCAAATGCAGGTAGTTCTTACAACATCATAAATATCACAACTACTTCACCACTAAGAGTAGCATGTGATGATTTATTTGATTGAAGGTTTCTTCTTTTTAATAAGACTAATATAACAAAATTTTCAGAGAATAAAAAAAGAGTATCATGATATCAACTTGAATCCATGCAAACGAGATAGGCCAAGAATTCATTTTCTGATTTAAGCAAACTAATAATGTCTAGTAAGAAACAAGCAAACCTCCAGATGAATAAAGATCATAGCTTCATTTAAGTATTCTAATTAGGAAACCTAATCTTTCCTGTAAGAAGAATTCTATTTGGAGTACATCTTCTTACATTTAGATCAGGAAAAGTAAATAGAAAAGCAAAGAGTACGCATAGCAAAAATTGGCTATCAGCTACTTAAGGGATCATCTTACCAAAAAAGTGGTAACAAAGGAAGAAGCTCTTGTTTTAGTGGACTCAAATCTAGGACAACTTCTGTGTAGAGGACATCATTCGTGAAAAGGTCATGTTGCAAAACTGTTACACCATTGATATCTCCAACCTACAGTAATATGTTCAAAAGCTCAGTTTTAGCACTTCAACTCAAAGGAAATATGTTAACACTTGAATCAGGAATCCCTAAATGAATTGTGATAACCTCTGTGGGAACACGTGTAGGTTCTTTAGGAATGTCATTTAAAGATAGACTTGGAACACTTCTTAAAGCTTCTGGAGGGTCAGGAGTTTCTTGCTTCAATCGTAGCTCCTGTGTAGCACGTGCTAGCTCGGCCAGATCTTCGTCTGTCATACTTGATTTGACTTTTGCCAAAATTTCTTTCTCAGCTGCTTCATCACGAGAAGCTTTCTCTGGGTCGGGCTGTACCAGATTTGAAATGATTAGCATCTGATATGACCATAACTAGAAGCATGAAACAAATATAGAAAGTGACACAAAATAACAAGTACCTGCATTTCTACAGTAACACGGTGACTATTGTTCAATATATATTTCTCAATTAAAGGAGAAAAAACAGCTTTAGAGCCTTCCTCAGCTATCCTTGCTTTCAGATCCATCAAGGGTTTCTCATACTTTAAAGGCTCAAAAGGATCCATATCATATATCCATTTACCCTATAATATAAAAGCCATATAAAGCACTGGATTACAAAAATTAAGATAGAAACACCAAGTATCTAAAGCAGAAAATGAATCTTACAATGGATCGAAGCATTAATGATAAGCCACGAGGAAATGACCCAGTGTTATTTTCTCTAAGAGAAAACTCAATTGTATTCATGGATGCCTCCACAGCATCTGTATCAAAACCTTCCTCTGCTAATTTTTTCATGGTATACATGATTAACTCTTCTACCTTTTGAATGTTCTCTTCAGAAACATTCTTCAACCCAATACTAAATTGAGGCTGGAGGAGTTCATCTTCAATTCCGCCACCAACAATGGCATCTCCAAGACCACTTTCCAGTAGAATTTTCCTTAAGGGAGAAGCAGGAGTTCCCAACAAAAGATGATCCAAAAATCCAAGAGCGAGCTCAGTTTCCAAGTCCAAGGGCTTATCTGAGAGCAACCAATTAAGGCATACCATGTTTTTCTTCTTAAGATCGCCACCTTCACTGGCAGGGTATTTCTCAACTACCCTGACTGGCTCTGAAAATAGTTTTTGAGGTGCAACTATGGATTCACTGGGAGCTGAACTTGCCTCAAACATATCCAGATACTCTGTGATAGAGAAAAGAATTTTAATGTACTACATATAACTGCTGGAACTCTGAACTTGTATATTCAGTTAAACTATTAGAATGACAACATTATAACATGAATGGAGACCATAAAATGAGAATGAGTGTTGCTTCATGAATCATTTGCTCTGCCTTTAACATTATGTGCCAAAAATTGAAGTTTCCAAGAAAAATGATAAGAGAACTCGGGAAGGAAACTTTTTTGGGGGGGTAATATATATGTTTCTATCACCTGATCAATGAAGGACAGGTTATGTACCAGGTACACATCCAAGATAAAATATAATATCACAATATTTTCTTTCTTATGCAGACGACCTCATCAGAGCAACATGAAACAAAACACAATTAGGGAAGGATATTTCAGTTTCCGTAATTTAATTGGCCAGCCATGTAAGATTTCAAAGTCTGCTCATATATCCTGTTATACATTATAACTTTTTGCAACTGTAGTTTTGCATCACTTTACTTTGGGACGAAGCATTCATGTAACTCAAGGGAAAGGCCAAAGTCGTAATACAATAATACATCGAAAGAAAAAGACCCAAAAAAAAAAAATTCATCACATCCGAGATTTCATTTATTACCACTCAGGATGCGTAGTCGTTCTTTTGGATCATCATCTCCATAGAACCATATCCTGGCATTGCTAGGGTGGTAATATTTTCGGTGAAATTCCTGTAATTTTTGTTCAGGAAAAAAAGAATAATAAAACAGTTATTAATACATCTACACAGGATAGTACTGTGGTTCAGCTCACATTGAGATTATTTGGCAGCAAAAAATTTATCACAATTGGTATGTATGAACACTATATAATCGTGACCAGGATGTAAAACCCTAAAACTCCAGTAAATTAGCCAACTGAAGCTTAAATCAAGAAAAACAAAAATAAAAACATGTCAGCACTTCCTTATTTATCTGCACTACCACCAGATTATTAGAAGAACTAGATGGATAGAAGCATTTGTGCATAGCTTACTAAAGAAACCCTAATAGCACAGATCAACAGTTCCATTTTCCGCAAAATTTGTTTCACAAAAATCTCCATTATCATGTCTATTCTACACCTCATATGGCCTTGGATAAGTCCTCACAGTGTTTTAACATTAAAGGGTGGGTAACAACTTTTTCTTTTTTCTTTTTTATGTTTATTTTCCTTAAGAAAACATACAGTATAACATACAGAACATAAAATTAAGTTTTAACAACTTTATACATATCAATACTGATGCCAAACTGCATAGAGTTGAAAATTATCATTTTAGACAAAAATAAAAAAATAATTTAAACAATAAAGGATAATATTGGCAGATTACATTTCTGTCACAACTTAATAAATATACATAATAATAATTCAAACCAAAAAAAAAAAAAAAGGAAAAGAAAGAACAGTAAATCATTTAGGTCCAGCAATAACAATCATATCTTTCACCAAGATATAACACATATTAGGTCATTATTGTTTAAAAGTTAAATAACATCATGCTAAACTTAACTAGAAAAAGTATTTTAAAAATGCTATTCAAGACAGACCTTAAATTCCTCAAATGTCAGCTTGGGGATAACTTTGGGGTCACCTCCACTGTCAACGCCATATGTGTTGTCAGGAGATAAAGCCTGTGAAAAATTTATTAGACATGGTTATAAATAACAAGAAGATGGCTGTATCAGAATTTGCATGACGCAACCAATGTGTTGTGAACCAACATACAAGCATTTGAAGCCATCAGAGAACACACAAGGCCTCTGAACACATATCACACAATAGCTAGACAATCTTAACATACAAGTAGACAATACGGCCACAACATATTAACAATTAGATTGAAAGAAATGCAATTCAATATCAACCGATAATTTACCACTATATGCAGTAATAGATTCAGGGTTCCCCTTTAGGGATACTACTCAAGAATAAATTGTGAAAACATTCTGCAAAGTTGCTAACATGAAAGGAATGTGAAAGAAAAACAACCAGAACATATTGGTGAACTTGCCTGTTGAATGGTCCGCCCTAATACACTGTCAGGCTGGGAATAAACACCTTTCATCTCATTGAAAACAACACCTGCAGTTCAGGATAAAGCAAGAAGGTCAAAAACAATTATATCCAGAAGTTGGATGAATCATCACCAGCAAAAGTCAACCCTCATCCATTGGAAAATGGCATTGCAATTTCATAACAAAATGAAGTGATATATCAAAATGAAACCTTTATAAGTTATTTCCTCTGAAGGATTGTCGAGCTCAAAATGCCAACCCTCCTGTTGAAAAGTCTGGAAGTCCTCCACACACTTTGGAAAGAAGACAGCATCCAGGTAGACATCAACCAGATTATAAAAATCCTGTTCAAAAAAAAGATAGTGTGGCTTAAAAAAAAAAAAAAAAATTAAAGCAAAATTTTCCAGTTTCAAGCTTCTATTCTTTATAATTCTAACTTATTTTTACCTTAGTATTTGTGGAAGCAACTGGATAACAAGTCCTATCAGGATAGGTGAATGCATTTAGAAAAGTGTTCAAGCTCCCTTTCAACAATTCAACAAATGGTTCCTTCAAAGGATACTTTCTTGAACCACATAGTACGCTGTGCTCCAATATGTGTGGAATCCCAGTTGAATCCTTCCTGCATTGTCAATTACAGACAAAGAGATGCTACAATCTTAGGCAGCCATCAATTAAACAATCAACCCAAACGCAGTTTGCACATAAAGTTCCATAAGAATTGATACATATTGGAAAATATAACCAATGCCCAAAATACAATAAAAACATCTAAGTACCAATTGCTATAAATAAGAACATAAGGATTTACCAAAATTTATATCTCATATTTGGAGATATTAATCAATTGGCCATGTAAGCAAGAGGTAATGCCGTCCACAAACTTCAAGATTTCACCCTCACTCAGTTCAAATGACTAAAATCCCTCACCTAATATTTTGCTCTACATGAACACATACATACAATGTAATAAATTGGCAAAACAAGGTGCATTATTTTATACTTACGGAGGAGTTCGAATGACAATGCCAAACACCTTGTTCTCATCATCATTTGATACAGACATAACCTCAGCACCGGTTTTCTTGTGCTTGAAAAGCACAGCCTTTGATTTACACTCTTTAATGAACTCTTCTGAAACCTTCTCGAATCCATACTTTTCCGCAACCTCATCACTGACTTCAGCAACATCTATGCCGAAAACGAAAAGCAAACAAATTTTTACAAACTATTAGAACACAGTTAATCAGTCACTGTATTAAATTATTAACAAAAATATCCTAAAATCTACTTATACCACATCTATTCAAGATGATTTCAAATTGAAGTTTCTTCACATTGCTTTTCCTTTATAATAGGCTCGAATGAAATTATTTTAAATATAATGGTATACAACATATTTTAGCTCAACTGAAGATATTTAAGAACCTGTGTTGTAATTTCAATAAGTACATGCTATTACAATTAGATAATGTTCCAAAAACGCAGAAACGACGACAAATATGGTACCGGGAGAGGGCTGTGTAGGAGGAGAGGCGACGGCGCGCGTAGCGAGAGCTGAGAAATGTTTATTGAAGGGAAGAGAAGAGGATAAGGGAGCACGTAATCTGGTATGACCGCGGTGCAGCGAGCGTCTAATGAGGTTGGGAATCAGACGGAGCTGATTTCTCCTGGCGGCAGACAATGATGATGATGATGATGATGAAGCGCGAGAAATGAGAGATTGCGAGAGCTTGTGAGAAGAGCGGAAGTAATATTTGTTGCAAGCTAGAGAAGAACACGAGAGAGAGCGAAGCAAAGCCGTTCTCTCCATTGTTACTGACTGTCAGGTGGATAACCCTAAGCTACAGTGTTGCGTTTTGATTTTGTTTTCGTTCTTGCGTTGCGTTGCGTTGTGAATTGTGATATACGGGAGGGTTTGATTGGTTGGGTTTTGCAGGGGCTTGATTAAAAGAGTCGGACTGACCTCAACTGACCTGACCGAGCCTGTTTGTAATTGTAGCAAGGGAAAATATCTATTAATCAATCAAATTGTAATTGTGGTTTGTAATTGACCAAGTTTTCTTTCAGCCCTTGTTAATTCTTGTCCTTACATTTTATTTTTTTATAAATTGAGAAATAAATTTTCATTATGGCACGTTAAGTAAATTCTCGACCTTTCTAATAAGGGTGAGCAAATTTTGTAAGGTAGAACCGAAACCAACAAGTATCTAGGCTGTCGAGTCTAGTTCCAAATTTGGTGGAACTGACACTCTACGGTTTCAATTCTAGTTCCACCACTTTAAGAACTGGAATCGACACCAGGAACCAAAACCGAAACCAAGAACTGGAATAGGAACCAAGGTCTAAGTACCTAGGGTGGAACCAACCGGTCCCCACATTGTATTTGTAATTTTTGTAAACAATTGGGGGTGTATTTATAATTTTTACATGGTATATTTGTCATTTTTGTGAATAATAGAGATGTATTTATAATTTTATGTGAACAGTGTCAGTGGGTATCCAAAAACGGAATCGAAACCTGTTACAAGTATTTAGGAACTGGAACGATTAGTTCCAGTTTTGGTTCCTAAATCCTAGGAACCGTTGGTTCTAGTTCCAGTTTCTATTTCCAAGATTTGGGCTAGGTACATTGCCCCGCTCATCCCTACTTTCTAATAGTTAATAGAAATTGTCTTATTGACAAAAAAATTAATTAGCGATTCATTTTAATATTTTTTTTTTTTTCCAAATTATCTTAAATGGTATGTTAATATTGGAGTTTTTTGTTTTTTCTTTATTTTCCCTATTCCGTTCATGTTATATTGTTTTTTTTTTAAATTAAAATGAAGTTCATGTAAATCCTTGTTTAACTTCTTTCATAGAAGTCTAAAGGGCTCAAGTTCTGGTTGATTGGCGTAGTTGTCCCTGTTTTAGCGTATAATTGGTAAGTGAAAGAAAATTTTGTATTGGGACAAGCGTCTGACCGAGATGGTTGAAAGTAATGTGGCGCATTGCGAGTTTGCGACAGCCTAATTACTCATTTCTAGACTTTCACGCAACAAACAGAGAGGGAAAGTAGGCCAAGGTTTTGAAAGGTAAAGTGAGTGGGATTAATGAATGTTGATGTTAAAATTTGTACCAACCAGAGATACCCGGTTGGTGGGTAAGATATGTGCGTAATTACTGGTAACTAACGAGGTTGATAAAAACGATATGGTATAAATAACAAAAGAGGTTTTATCGTGGTTCGACAGTATAGAAACCAAACCTAAATCCACTATTATGCTATTATTGAGGGGTATTACATGGTCAAATGAGGTTACAAAGGAAAGTTTGTGAGATAAGTGAATGATATTCAGCTCTCACGACTTATTCTCTCTTAACACTTTCTAAAACAGGTAAGTGTATTTTTCTTTTAGACTTTATTAATGCTGAAATCCCCTGGAACGGAGGTCGTGGACTCCTTTTATACTTGGCTAGTTTGACAGTGGTTGTGTAACGCCCACATGGAGGTACATAATTTAATTTATACTCTTATACTTTTAGTTAATTTTTGCTAAAGTTATTTTGAGAAAACTCCTTAAACTTGCATTAAGAGTAAAATGATCTTTTCACTCGAAATTAGTTGAAAAAGTGGGGAGTGAAAAGAGATAAAATTTCATGGAGAATGTAATAAAAATAAGAGTATTATGATAATTGACTAAAGGACATAAATAAAGTTTTAAAGAAAATATAAGGGCAAAATGAAAAACTATATATAATTTTATAAATATGAGTCCATACTTTATTACTCGTTTATATATGTATTTTCTTATATATATTTTTAATAAATTTTATTAATTATTTTACGAGTATACTAACTAGAAATAAAATATTACAAGTTGAAAGTGGGTGTTACGGGGTTATTTATACTCATAATCTCCTTAGTTAGGATCTGAGTCAACCATCTTTGTACTTGTGACAGGACGGATCAAGCTATTGACAATTTAAGTCATGCTTGTGATAGTAATCATCTTGTAAGAGAAGGTAAATGCTAATAGGACCACACATGGGAGGATCCAGGGCCGTCAGTCTTTGAGACACTTTGAGGACGCGTGGCGCAAATCTGACCGCGAGGAATTAGGCATAACGGTGAGAAATGCAGATACTGCACTCAAATCGTTTATCACGACAAATTTTATTCGGATTTATTTAGTCCATCCCATGTGATGCCAGAGTGAGCACTGTACATATCCATTTTTTTTACTTTGAAATTTTTTATCTAATGAGACGACAGATTATGGATCTCACTTCCCCATTGATCCAATTAACCTCGTCTCTTTTGAAAAGAAAAAGGTAAAGTTAGAGAACCGTTGGCTCCATTGTCAAAAGCTCCACTACCAAATGTGAAACATCTGCTAGGAAGAAGGTCTCGTGAAACTCACCAGGGACCCCAGTGCCCATTTACCAAACATTAGAAAGACTCGACATAATCTTCTGTTAAACGTGTGGAATGGAATGGCGTATTTTATCTTCTCATCGCCATCACCAACCAATGTCGTAATTTGGTGACCATTCTTAGTCAATGATAACATGATCAATCCCAGCACTATAGCTTACCATCTTTAAATTATTCGGATCCTCTTCAGGATTGCAATTGCCTGCAACAATGGATTCGAGCACAAACGAAGTAGCGCATGAGTATCTTCCATATTTTCGTGCCTACAAAGATGGACGAGTGGAGAGATTCTTTGGCTCCGATAGAGTTCCTGCATCGATTGATGGTTCTCAGAACGGTGTCTGCTCCAAAGATGTTGTTGTTGTTTCAGAAACTGGGCTGTCAGCACGTATTTTTATCCCAGCAGGCGCGACTAAACCAGGCCAAAAGCTGCCTCTCGTGGTTTACTATCACGGCGGAGGCTTCTTCATGGGCACACCATTTTGCTCCGTTTATAACAACTTTGTATCCTCTCTAGCCGCCAAGGCTAATGCCATCGCCGTCTCCGTCGATTACAGATTAGCCCCAGAACACTATGTCCCCGTAGCTTACGAAGATTCATGGGCTGCACTTAAGTGGGTGGCTTCTCATTGCAATGGTGAAGGCCCTGAAGCTTGGCTGAACAACTACGCTGATTTTCACAGAGTTTTTCTTGCTGGGGATAGCGCTGGAGGCAACATGGTGCACAACATGGCCATCCAAGCAAGTGTTGAAAACCTAAATGGAGTGAAATTGTCAGGAATTTGCTTGATTCAACCATATTTCGGCAGGCAAGACGGTGGTGTTGATAAGTGCTGGACTTTCGTCTGTCCAACCACAAGCGGGTCCGATGATCATAGAATCAACCCAAGTGTTGATTCGAGGTTGTCGAGCCTGCGTTGCAACAGGGTGCTAATTTGTGTTGCTGAGAAGGATAATTTGAAAGAGAGGGGTTTGTTTTATTCAGAGACATTGAGAGACAGTGAATGGGTTGGAGAAGTAGAGATTGCGGAGACAGAAGGAGAAGACCATGTGTTTCACTTGTTCAATCCGAATTCTGAAAAGGCCATGGCCTTGCTGGAAAAAATAGCTTTGTTTATAAATCAACACAATGCTGGTTGATTTACATCAAACACTTTGTATTGCTCAGCTCTTCTTTCATGATTTCAAAGCAAATAAAAAAATATTCAGTTCTTGTTTCTGTTCTGCAAAATAATTTTTTCAAAACTGAATTATGGAAACAAATTAAGAAAATTAGATGCCCAAAATCCAATGGGAAAAAACCCAAAAGATAGAGGAGGCGGTTGACTCCTTTCCCCACATGACCTTCAGTTAGGGATGGATATGTTCCCCGCCCCGACCCAGTCCGAAAGGGGCGGAGATTCCCCGAATTGATTGGGGACTGGGATGAGCTCGGGCCCAAATGCAATACATGAATTCATGCCCAGGCCGAGGACGGAGATAGTCTCATCTCCAACCCCGAATTGGCCCCACCCCAATCCCCTCGGGCCTTCGGGGATTCCCCGAATTCCCTATTCAAGGATTGGGCCGAATTCAGGGAATCCCCTTGGGCCTTCGGGCAGGGCCCAGGGACAGAGGTCACCGGCCCCGACCCGACCTGTGCCCATCCCTATTCAGTCTACATACCTAAACTGTGTCCTTTGCTTAATTAACTATCAAATATGTCATAATTTTTCAAAACTGAATTATTGGAACAAATTGAGAACATTGGATGCCAAAATCCAAGTGGAAAAACCCAAAAGATAGATTTAGTGGTTTCTACTCCTTTGTTGTCATATTCTTGTGTATTTCTTTCAGTAAAGAGCCAACTGAATGGCCCAGCCTTAGAAAATAAAATACAAAAATCTTCCATTGCTCTCAATTATTCCATCTTGGAACTATAGAACAAACGAAAGGCTCTTCATTTTATCTCTGCTCTATTTCTCTTAATTAGCTAAATGGAATATGCCACCAAGCCGGAAGTAGCCTATGACTTCTCTCCGGTGATAATAATGTACAAAGATGGCCGCGTAGAGAAGCTTCAAGGCTCCGAAATCGTTCCCCCGTCTCTTGATCCCAAGACCAATGTTGAATCCAAAGACGTTCTATATTCACCTGAAAATGGCCTTTCCGTCAGGCTTCACATCCCGAAAAACACCAACCGAAACCAAAAGCTTCCGCTTCTAGTTTACTTCCATGGAGGAGGCTTTTACATCCGTTCCCCTTTCACCCCTCAAACCCACAATCTCCTCAACTCCTTAGTTGCAGAAGCTAACATCATTGCAGTCTCGGTTGAATACAGGAAAGCCCCGGAGCATCCCGTCCCTTGCGCTTTCGACGATTCATGGACTGCGCTTCAATGGGTTAAGTCTCATGTAAACGGAGCAGGCCCCGAGGATTGGCTCAACGATTATGCTGATTTCCAGCGAGTGTTTTTCTGCGGGGACAGCGCCGGAGCTACCATAGCTCACCATATGGGCATAAGACACGGCCAAGAAAAGCTTGAAGGCGTTAATGTGAAAGGTATTGCTTTATGTCATCCTTATTTTTGGGGCAAAGAACCTGTCGGTGATGAGTCAACTGACGCAGAATTCAGACAACGGCGGGAGAAATATTGGAGAGTGGCTTGTCCGAGCTCAAGCGGGTGCGACGACCGGTGGATAAATCCAGCGGCTGATCCGAACCTGGCGAGGCTGGGGTGCCGGAGGGTGTTGATTTTTGTTGCGGAGAAGGATTTTCTTAGAACAAGAGGATGGTATTATTACGAGAAGTTGAAGGAAAGCGGGTGGGGAGGTAATGCGGAAATTACAGAGACTGAAGGAGAGGGCCATGTTTTCCATGTGAAAAATCCCACTTGCAAAAATGCCGTGGCTATGCTCAAGAGAATCGCTTGTTTCTTCAATCAGGAATAATAAAAAAATTATGGTTATTAATTAATGCCATGTAAGCACAATTTTTAAAAATTAATAAAAGAAATAATATTTAATTTGATTTTATGGCTTTATATGTCTTTTTCATGAGTCATTATTTTGTTACAAAGGCATTATAGTCTTTTCAAACCGGTTAAAGAAATATCTTGTTACCAAATGGTCAATGATTTTTCCTCCTTTGTTTTTGTTTTTGTTTTTTGTTTTTTTTTTTTTTTTTTGACTAAGGTGCCCAAGTCCTCTTGTGTGCAACTCGATTAGGGGTAAAAACCAAGTCGAGCCGCTCTGGGCTTGGCTCAGCATTTGCTCAGTATTGTTGAGTCGAGTTCGAGCATGGTACAACTCGACTTGAAAAGCTTAATTAAACTCGATTATACAAACTCAAATTCTAGTTTTAGGTACCGAGTTCGAGTTCGAACTCAATTCTTCAAGCTCAGTTAGGCTTGAATTCGAACTCGAATTCAGTACTATAGCAATCAAGTCAAGATCGAGTAACCTAGATACTCGACTGATTTCATCCCTAACCTCGAATAATCTCAAGGTCCATTGAATATCCTATAAGCTTAATAAGCCAAGTAAGTCACAAATACAATAAGTGGTCACTTGGAAGGACTCGAGCATAAAACCTTTGAGTAAACTAAGGTCTTGTCATTCGATCACAAACCAAGTGGTTAGGATCAAAGATTTTTATATGGGGCTTTTTTTTATAGTATTTTCTTAAAAAAGAAAATTATTGGATCAACTTATGAACAAGAAACATTCAAATGAGTAAACCTACTTTGAATATGTATTGAATGTGCATTTAATCACTGTCTTTATGGGTGACCGACTCACCAATTATTTCATACATGCTTGTGGGTTAACCAAATGTTTTATTAATTAATTACAACACCAAAAGTAGGTGTTACTATTTAATTGCTAGCTTTATTNTTTTTTTTTTTTTTTTTTTTTTTTACTACTAAGGTGTCCGAGTTTGCTTGCGTGCAACTTAACTAGGGGTGAAAAACAAGTCGAGCCACTCTTGGCTTGGCTCAACATTTGCTCAGTATTGTCAAGTCGAGTTTGAACATGATACAACTCGACTTGAAAAGCTCAATTATACAAACTCGAATTCTAGTTTCAGGTACCGAGTTCAAGTTCGAACTCAATTCCTCAAGCTCAGTTAAGCTTGAATTCGAACTCGAATTTAGTACTATAGCAATCAAGTCGAGATCGAGTAACTAGATACTCGACTGATTTCCTCCCTAACCTTGAATAATCTCAGGGTCCATTGAATACCCTATAAGTCTAATGAGTCAAGTAAGTCACAAATACAGTAGGTGGTCACTTGGAGGGACTCGAGCATAAAACCTTTGAGTAAACTAAGGTCTTGTCATCCGGTCACAAACCAAGTGGTTATGATCAAATATTTTTATGTGGGGCTTTTTTTTCAAGTATATTCTTAAAAAGGAAAATTATTAGATCAACTTATGAACAAGAAACATTCAAATGAGTAAACCTACTTGAATATGTATTGAATGTGCATTTAATCACTGTCTTTATTGGTGACCAACTCACCAATTATTTCATACATGCTTGTGGGTTAACCAAATGTGTTATTAATTAATTACAACACCAAAAGTAGGTGTTACTATTTAATTGCTAGCTTTCTTGACCATACATGTTTTTTGCAAAACAAAAAAACTATATAATAAATTCATGTAAGTGTATATATCAAAGTTCTATAGCTGAGAGTTTGGTTTAGGTTAATTAAATCATTGAAAATTAATTGTGTTTAAATTAACATTGATTTGGTGCACATAGGTCAAAGGTGTTAGTGGAAAAAATGGTTGAACAACTTAATCGGCCCACGCAATAAATCAAAGTATATGGTTAGTTTTTAAATTATATAATCAATTTCAAAAAAATTCAAGTATAATTTTTTATTTATGAAAATTTCTAATAATGGGGTATCGTTACTATTGTATGCCATTTATTATATGAATGTGGGTTCGACAGTGATTGTAACGTTACTCAAAATAATAATAATACTCTTCTCAAATGAAATCCCAAATTTTTCATCCCAAATGATGTGCGACCGTGACATTAACATATCATTTAATACTTTAACTCATCATTTACACATCAAAGCCACACTAGGAACACATCACTTGCGATAAGGAATTTGAAATACCATTTGAGAATAATTCATATTATTCTACTCAAAACTCATCTGTGGGTAGTCCATATAGTTAGGATGAATTAGAGATAATGTGGATAGACACATAATCTCAAGTTTGATTCCTCCATCCGAGCCTCTGTGATTTAGACTAGTCTTTACTGAAGATTAATTGATGTACGTGTAAATTGATCTAGACACCTTGATTATAAAAAATATTATATATGATTATGCTCAAAATGAAGTTGGGAATAATGAATAAAAAAGAGGTCAAAAAAAGGAAAAGGAAAAGCAATTATAATGACAAACTTTTGCCCTCAACAAAGATCAAAGCAATTGCTCATCCAATTTCTGTCACATTCATTATGAGAAATTAAATATTATTGAATATATTAATGTACCTAATTAATTTGTCAGCCTCAAACTGTCAATTTGGATACTATTAACATGAGTCCGTCTTCTATCAAAGAAAGCGTCAACCCATTTTAGGATACTAACGTTACAATGAAAGATTTAGAATCTATTAAAATAAGAATAAAATCTAAAATAAATATAACCAGATTTAGATTTCACTAAACCTCATTGACGATTGTGCATTTATGGGCCCAAACGAAAGCAACTTTGTTGTCATTATTTTTTTGAATATTTGGAAACATATTAATTGTGATTATTATTATTATTATTATTATTTTAGCTAATTAACACATCATAATTCAATATATATGAAGAGAAACAGCCCTTCAATATCCTCACACTTATCCCAATCCTCTCTGTAGACCAAACGGAGCTCTCTATATTTCCTGCAATCTTCTTTTCTTCTTCTTCTTCTTCATTGCTATGGATTCCACTCAGCCAGAAGTAGCCTATGATTTTTCTCCCATGCTCATAGTTTACAAAGATGGCAAAGTAAACCGGCTCACCGGAAACGACGTTGTCCCCACATCTCTTGATCCCAAAACGAACGTCGAATCCAAAGACGTTGTATATTCATCAGAAAATGGTCTCACCGTCAGGCTTTACATCCCCAAAAACGTCTCTCAAAACCAAAAACTTCCTCTTCTTGTTTACATCCACGGCGGAGGCTTCTGCATCGAGTCCCCTTTCTCCCCTCTCTACCACAATTACCTCAACTCCTTGGTCGCCGAAGCTAACATCGTCGTCGTCTCAGTTCAATACAGAAGAGCCCCGGAGCATCATCTTCCTTGCGCTTACGACGATTCATGGACTGCCCTCAAATGGGTCGCTTCCCATGTTAACGGATCGGGCCCTGAAGATTGGCTCAACTCTCACGCTGATTTTGAGAAAGTATTTTTCTCTGGCGACAGTGCCGGCGCCAATATAGCGCACAGGATGGGCATAAAACACGGCCTGGAAAAACTTGAAGGCGTCAACGTTGAAGGAATTGTTCTATGTCATCCATATTTCTGGGGCAACGAAGCTGTGGCTAATGAGACAGCTGATGAAAACAAAAGAAAGTTTGTTGGGGCGTTGTGGCGAATTGCGTATCCGGAAACAACCGGGTGCGATGACCCGTGGATAAATCCGGTGGTGGATCCGAACCTGGCGAAGCTGGGGTGCAGGCGGGTTCTGGTTTTTGTGGCGGAGAAGGATTTGCTATGCGCAAGAGGGTGGTATTATCATCAGAAGTTGAAGGAAAGTGGGTGGGGAGGTGACGTGGAGGTTGTGCAGATCAATGGAGAAGAACACGTTTTCCATTTGTTCAATCCTGGTTGTGAAAATGCTAAGGCTATGATGAAGAAAACTGCGGACTTCTACAACAATAATTGATCTTCAGGATGATAAGGCCTGAAAACGGCGGTTGTTTTCAGTAATAAGACATGGTATTGGCAAAATTCAGTTGTATTATCTTTTGCAAAAGAATTTTTAAAGTAAAGGCATGGTATTGGCAAATCCATTAATGGATTTTACTGTATGAAGTTAGCAAAGATGAAAAAAAAAAACAAGGAATTTGGACCCATTGTTAATAAAGTTATTCTCATATCACATCATCAAATGCCATGAAAATTGATTTATTCATTGAAGCTTTCAGTACAGTCTATGCGATTGCATTAAAGCTCAAAAGGAAAAAGCTAAAAACCATAATTCTAATACTGAGAGATGCTGATATGGAATGCCAGCAACATTCAGGCCTTCTCTTGAATCTTCTGATTGATGAAAAAACCAATTTGTTTGAGCAAAGCTACAGCATTTTCAGAGCTGGGATTGAACAAATGGAAGACATGATCTTCTCCTTTCGTCTCAATAATCTCCACAACACCTCACCATTCACTCTCCTTCAACTTCTCATAATAGAACCATCCCCTGTCTCTGTACAAATCCTTCTCAGTAACACAAACCAGCACTCTACAGCTCTCCAGACTCGCCAATTTCGGATCAGCCACAGGATTAAACAACGGATCATCGCACCCACTTGTTGCAGGACATACAAAACGCCAGAATTTCTCTACAAATTCTCTTCTCTCCAAGTGATTGACTTCTGCACCGATCGGTTCACTGCCCCAGAAATACGGATGTATCAAAATAATCCCTGCAACCTTAACACCCTCTGGTTTTTCTTGGCCATATCTCAATCCCATGAAGTGTGCTGTATTAGCACCAGAACTATCACCCGCAAAATAGACCTTTTCAAGATCAGCAAAACTGTTTAGCTAATCTTCAGGACCAGTTCCATTAACATGAGAAGCGACCCATTTAAGGGCGGTCCATGAATCGTCAAAACAAATAGGGACAGGATGCTCCGGCGCTCTTCTGTAGTCACGGAGAGAATTACAATTTAGGGTTTGATATTTGAATTGAAATGGGATATAATGCTACTTTGACATAACTAAGAAGGCAAAATGGTAAATTAGAGACCCCCTAATAGTTGTAAAACTTG